GGTGTTTCATTAGCCTGATGGGTGCAGCCTATCAGTCAGCACGATGCTGTCCCATGGCTGCTCCCATCCAGCTGTGGAACAGTGGTGATACAAAACCTGCTGTTTTCCTTCTCTCTATCCCCAGTGGTGTGGGTACCATATATATATGTATACACACACACACACACACACACACATATATGTATATATATATGTGTGTGTGTGTATTTTGTTGCAAGTATTATAGATATCCCTCCTTTGTTCCATTTTTTTTACCCCAATGACATTCCCCTCCCCACTCCCACCCAGGTACCTTTTGCTCACTGGTGATAAGGAGTGAAATTGGCATCATGGATCAAAATGAGTAAATGTCAATTATTGTCTTCTTGCCTCCTGGCTTAAAGATATGGCTTCCAGCACCTGTACTACATATATACCAAAGAGGAGGAGGCAAACAGATTTAGATGTCAAATAACTCAGATTTGACATCCTTAGATAATGTAAGTGAATATCTTGTGATACAGAACTTGGCATAATCTGAAAAATAACTCAGGTTATCTCAACAATGACGTTCAAGTGTGTTCTAGTATTTAGACAAATGGAATGGTGGATCTTGTAGCTTATTTCTTTAAATTCTGGTTGATGCTAAAACCAGTCAGCTCTTGGAAGCAGATCTAGGAGAGAATGTAAATTTGTTGAGTCATAATAACTGTGCTGTGTTTCATAGGTCGTACAAATCAGAGAGGCAGCATAGGATTTGGGGAAGAACTGGGGACTAACATTAGTTTTCCACCTATTATGCTTACATTAGGCTCTTAGTGTATGTTTACTGCTTACTCGCCCTCCCCCATTTTAAAAAAGATAACTGAGTTTCCGATGGGTTAAATGCATAGCCTTAGGCTCCGTGACTTATAAATAGTTAGAGCTAGGATCAACACAAGTATGTCAAACTCCTGAGTTTGAATTTTCCACGTGCTGGCTTCCCTTGAGAGCTAGTGGATATAAATAGACTGGCCTCCATGGAGATTAGATATATGGAGGGGATATGAATGAATGAACTTTGTGAAACTCACATGGCAATCTCAGTGAGATCATGATACTCGGATTTTTCATACATATTAATATTATTTTGGAAACAGTAATCTATGGTCATTTGACATGGCTTTGGCTGGGTTGCACTGCTGCCTTTTCGAGTAAAATTGATTTTTTTGTGTTTGCATTGTACTCTTTATGGTCCTCCAGCTAATTCATAAGATGCGGTATTTTACTCTTCAGAGCAGTGGTATGGTGTGCAAGCTCTGGAATTAAACTGCCCTTGCCCTCCCCTCCCCTCCCCTCCCCTCCCCTCCCCTCCCCTCCCCTCCCCTCCCCTCCCCTCCCCTCCCCCCTCCGCTCCCCCCTCCCCTCCCCCCTCCTCTCCCCTCCCCTCCCTCCCCTCCCCTCCCCTCCCCTCCCCTCCCCTCCCCTCCCCTCCCCTCCCCTCTTCTCCTTTCAGATCTGGGATGTATACAAGTTCTAGTTATTCCACAACCTTGGCAACATTTGGTGTGCTCACTTTATTTAATTAGCCATTGTAGTAGTAGGTATGTAGCAGTCTCTCATTGTATCTTTAAGTTGCATTTTTCTAATAACTAGTGAGTTTAAGCCTTATCAGATAGCTGTTTTTCTTCTTTGTTTATTATATGGAAAAGTTCCCTTAAGGCTGGTGTTTTATTTTTCTAAATGTTTTGTAGACTTTACTGTTCAAGACATAGGGATCCAAAGTTTTCATTCTGAGAATTTTCTTTAAATATATAGACTTTTAAAGTTTTCCTCTCTCTTCTCGCAGCAATTTTTAAGTAGTGTCTTTCTGGGACTTTGCCTTTTTCATCTGTATCTTAAATTTATTGGTGTAAAGTTGTCCGCCATATCTTAAGATCTTTTTAGGGTAGTAGGCTCTGCAGTGATTGATGTCTTTTTGTTCACCCCAGATACTGGTCATTCATATGCTTTCTGGGCACTGTCATGTATGCCCTCATGCTCACCCTCTGAGAGTCTTGCTAGCCCGTTCTCAATTTTTTTAGCCTTTTCAAAGAAATGACTTTTGGCTTCTTTGTGTCTCTGTATTTCATGTTTGTTTTATCTTTATTAGTTTTTTCATTTATTTTTATGACCTTCCTTCTGCTTTCTTTAGGTTTAATGAGCTGATTTAAAGATTATCCAACCTAAAGGACACTTCGCTCATCTTCTGTTTTAATATATGTGTTTAAGTTATAGATTGTCCTTTATCCATGCCATGGCTTTAGCTATGTTCCGTATGTTTTGATAAGTAAAGTTTTTGTAATCTTCTCATTTTAAAATCTTTTCTTATTTTCATTGCAGTTTTTTTGAGTCACAATTTCTTCTGTAATTAATGTATTACTTAGTTTCCAGATAGAGGAATTTTCCAGGATCTCATTATTGATTTCTTTTCTTCTTCTTTGTTGGTACGTGCCCCTAGCGGGAACCGAACCCAGGACTCTCTGGCCCACAGGCCAATGCTCCAACCACTGAGCCAGACTGGCCAGGGCTCATTATTGATTTCTAATTTTATTCCATTTTGGTTCAAGAGCATACTTTCCAGTTTTAATCTTTTGAAATTTGTTGAGACTTGCTTTTGGCCCTGCACATGGTCGATTTTGGTAAATATTCTTTAAGTACTTGAATGTACATTCTGTTACTGTGTTCAGTGTTTAAGATGTTCAGTTATTTCCAGTTTATCAATTGTGTTGTTCAAATCTTTGATATACTTCCTATTTTACCTATTTATTTTATATTATTGAGATGTTAAAAACTTTTACTCTGATTATGAATTTGCCGATTTTTTCTTCTTAATTCTATCACTTTTTTTTCCCTTTTTATTCTCACCCAAGTACATTTTTTGCATTTATCTTCAGATAGTGGGAGGGAGAGAGGAAGGAAGAGAGAGAGAGAAAGATCACTGTGAGACACATTGCCACCCACACGACCCCAACCAGGGCTGGGGACAGACTGCAACTGAGGCATGTGCCCTTAGCAGGAACCGAACCCGGGACTCTCTGTCAATTTTTGACACACACACACACACACACACGTGAATACAGATTTAGAATTACCACATATTTCTTGTGGATTAGAACTTACCATTTATGAAATATTCAGCTTTTTCTCTTATGCTACTTCTTTTGGTTCCTGTTTACATGGTTCATTCTTTCTCATGCTTTTACTTCTAAAAACATAACATGCATATGTTGTAAGGAGCATAATGTATGTGTGTGTTTTATCCATTCTGACAATCTGTGTTTTGATTATTGTTTTATTTTGTTTTTTGACATAGTGGCTTTCGTCCTGGACTCTAGACTCCCAAATTCATCTCTTATTGGCTGAGTGGCCTGGCGAAATCATTTTGCTTAGTTATACACATATAATGACATATATTATTTACAAAATAAATATATTATTACATTTAACTGAAATCATTTACATACATACCATGTATAAGATCTTACTCTTTAGTCCATTTATATTTAATGTATTTCCAGATATATTTGGGGTTGATATAGCCCCTTATTATTGTCTTTCTATTTATTCTACTTTCTATTTATTCTACTTCCTCTATTAGCTTGTTAAATCTGTATTATTTTACTATTCTCTTAGTGGTAATTGTAGAGATTACTACCTGCATCTTTGACTTCTTAAGGTCTAATATAAATTAATTTATCACTTTCTGGATAATACAAGGGTCTTAGAACACTTTAATCTCGCCCTGGCCGATTTAGCTCGGCGGTTAGAGCATCGGCCTGCGGTCCAGAGAGACCTGGGTTCAGTTCTCGCTAAGGGCACGTACCTCAGTTGCAGTTTGTCCCCGACCCTGGATGGGTCATGCGGGTGGCAACCACTCGATGTGTCCCTTTCATGTCGATGTTTCTCTCTCTCTCCCTCACACTCTATCTGAACAAAAAATGGAAAAATGTCCTTGGGTGAGGATAAAAAAATAAAAAAAAGAGAACACTTTAGTCTCATTTACTCATCTAGGGTATGCATTATTATCAATATAGTAATTTTGCTGTGTATTCAAAAATTCACAAACTATTACTATTATCACTTAAAATGTTTCCGTATATATTTGCCCTGTATGTTACCCTTTGCTACTTTATGCATCTCTAGGTTTCCGTCTAGGTCATTGTCCCTCTGCCTGAAGAGCACCCTTGAGTATTTCCTCTGTGTCGATCTGTGGGGATATAGCCTCTCAGCTTTCATTTGTTGAACATTTTTGTTTACCTTCATTTTTGAAGGATTTCCTCATGGGTTTGGAAGCTCCAAATGCTGGATCACCTTTATAGGCCTTTCAGCTTTTCCAGATCTTGGAGCAAAAAAGTCTAGTCATCGTGTCCCTCTGTTGCTTTCAAAGAGCCGTGTGTGCATGCGTGCGCATGCGTGTGTGCATACGTGTCACTCTGTCCAGCTCTTCTAGTTGTCCTCAAGCAGTAGTGCTGGGAGCTGTCAGCACAGGACAGGACACCTGGTCAAGAACTTAACAGATGTTTTTTTACTTTCTAGGTCTGTTTACTCTTATTAGATTGTAAACTCTTTGAGGGCAGTGTCCATGTCTTAAGTCTTTTTTAGTTCTTATTCTTCATATTTAATATAGGATATGGTCATTACTAAGTGACGGGTAAATGGCTGGCTATGCCATGGGCTGTTCTATGGCCTGACTTCCCCTCTGGAGTCACTGGTTCCCTCAGCCCAGTGCTCTCGACGTTTTGGGCCAGCTGACTCTTTGTGGTGGGGGCCGTCCTGGATATTTTGCAGGATATTTTGTAGCACCCCTGGCCTTTCTTTATCCACTGGGTACCTATAGCATGCCATCCTCAACTGCGACCACTGACATTTGCAACCGTCTCCCGGGGGTAAAATAGCCTCCGGTTGAGAAGCGCTGGGGTAGCGTGTGTGTGCTCAGTGAAGGCCGTTCATCGGGACTCAGGGTTTGTGTTCTCTAATGCTGACCTTCCTTTCGACCCTAGGTTTTGAAACCGCCAAGTCTTTTGCCCTCCACGGTGCCCATGTGATCCTGGCCTGTAGGAACATGACCAGAGCCAGTGAGGCCGTGTCACGCATTTTGGGAGAATGGGTAAGCACGCGCTTGGCTTTTTTTATTTAATTGTCAGATACACGTGCTGGGATGAACACATGGAGGTTTGAGTGCAATGCATGAAGTTTATTGCTCTTGGAGTAATGTTTTCTTTATTTTTAAAGCCGTAGTCACTTTGTTTACTTTATGAATGGAAAGGACGAACAAGCTCTTTCGCATCTACACGTGTTTATAGATCATTGTCAGTGTGATCTGCTTTATAGTCCGAGGTTTGAGACTGTTTCCTCATTTAGCTCATTTATTCAGAAAAATAAAACATGGTTAATGCCCCTGAATACAACCAAGAAGCTGTGAAGCTAATGGTTTTTAGGGTTAGGAAGGGGCAGACTTGAACCCTGTCTCTGGTTTTTCCTTTTTTCTCTCTGTGTAGATGTTGGCATTGATAATGTGTGATCACAAATATTCACTGAGGGCTTGCATTGCTCTAGGGGATAGGATATAGCATCAAACAAAACAGAATCCCTTCACGCACAGGCTCACCTTCTAGGTAGGAGAAACAGACCGTAGTGTCAGGCTGTTACAAATGCAGTGAGAGATCCTGAAGGAGCGTGTGGGGTAAGGAGGAACAGCGGGGACTCTCTACGCTGGGTGGTCAGCAGAGACCCCTCCCACGGTGCGGCATTTGACCCGAGACCTGAATGCAGTCAAGCAGTGAGCCGTGCCAGCGTCGGGGGAAGTGCGTTTTAAGCAATGGGAACAAGATGTGCAAGGCAGGAACATGCTGGAGGATTCGAGAATCAACAGGGCGCTGCTGCGGCTGGAGCCAGGGGAAGGCGCAGGGTGCAGAGATGCCCGAGGGTGTCACGCGGGCCAGGGGAAGGCGCAGGGTGCAGAGATGCCCGAGGGTGTCACGCGGGCCAGTGGAAGGTGCAGGGTGCAGAGATGCCCGAGGGTGTCACGCGGGCCATTGGAAGGCGCAGGGTGCAGAGATGCCCGAGGGTGTCACGCGGGCCAGTGGAAGGTGCAGGGTGCAGAGATGCCCGAGGGTGTCACGCGGGCCATTGGAAGGTGCAGGGTGCAGAGATGCCCCAGGGTGTCACGCGGGCCAGTGGAAGGTGCAGGGTGCAGAGATGCCCGAGGGTGTCACTGCGGGCTGTGAAGGTGCAGTGTCCGAGATGCCAAGGGTGTCAGCTGGCCAGTGGAAGGCGCAGGGGTAGAGCATCCCGAGGGTGTCACGCGGGCCAGTGGAAGGCGCAGGGTGCAGAGATGCCCGAGGGTTGTCACGCGGGCCAGTGGAAGGCTGCAGGGTGCAGAGATGCCCGAGGGTGTCACGCGGGCCAGTGGAAGGCGCAGAGTTGCAGAGATGCCCGAGGGTGTCACGCGGGCCAGTGGAAGGCGCAGGGTGCAGAGATGCCCGAGGGTGTCCGCGAGCCAGTGGAAGCGCAGGGTGCAGAGATGCCCGAGGGTGGTCACGCGGGCCAGTGGAAGCGCAAGGGTGCAGAGATGCCCGAGGGTGTCACGCGGGCCAGTGGAAGGCGCAGGGTGCAGAGATGCCCGAGGGTGTCACGCGGGCCAGTGGAAGGCGCAGGGTGCAGAGATGCCCGAGGGTGTCACGCGGGCCAGTGGAAGGCGCAGGGTGCAGAGATGCCCGAGGGTGTCACGCGGGCCAGTGGAAGGCGCAGGGTGCAGAGATGCCCGAGGGTGTCACGCGGGCCAGTGGAAGGCGCAGGGTGCAGAGATGCCCGAGGGTGTCACGCGGCCTCGGAGGCAATGGCGAGGGAGCCTTTCCAGGGTGTGAGCCAAGGGTGGCATCGTCTGCTTCATTTTTCACCATGATCACTGGGCTTTGGTGTGAAGCACAGACCACGTTCATTGATTAAGTTGTCATTTATTTACATGTTCGTGGAGTGCCCCATCGTCATAGATACTGGGGCCTCCTGTTAAGGAAAAACAGACATTAACACTGTCTTTGTAGAACTTTCAGCTGACAGTGGGAGACGGATTTAACCAAAGAATATAAACCTCAGGGTAAACTTGAAGTGATGGTAAGTGGTCCGATGAAGTATGTGGTCCTCCAAAATGGAGAATGACACCAGGGAGTGGGGCATTCAGAGTCCCCGGGGGGGAGTCATTGAGCTGTGATCTCAAGAAAGGCTGGGGGGCTGGGAGAAAGGCCAAAGCGAGCAGAGGGACAGGGAGGAGGAGGTGGAGGAGGAGATGGCAGTCAGGTGGCCTGGAGCAGAGCGTGAAGGGGGTTGGGTCATCCTGGCCAAGACTGGAGTCATTTTTTGAAACTGTGGAAGATTTCTTGCTATCTTAAGAAATAGCCCATGGTTTGTTTAAGAGAATGTCAGGGATTTTGGACTGAAAATTTATGAAAAGTCAAGAGAAGGAAGATTTGTTTCTGCTTTTTTAAGCAGAATTTCAGATTCAGTGTATTTCAAATGAACCCTTGTCCTAATCTCACTGGAGTCATTATTTGGAGTTCAATTAAAAATACAAATTAGGCCCCAACTTTTTCTGATTATCTTAGTATCTTTCTAACTCCAAAGTTTAAAAAGTGATAACCTCTATAGGTGGTATAATAGTAATGTTCAGAATCATATAAAGAGAATAAATGGTAATATATACACATGATTTGTATCTTCATACAAAATGGGAACATATTAAATGAAAAGTGAAAGTCCCAGTCCTTCTCTTGGGAGGTAAATATTATTAGCCTTTCTTGTATATCCTTCCAGAAAAAGGTTGTATATGCTTACAAACACATACATAATGTACTTTGATTTTTTTTTTAAAAAAACAATACTATAGATCTTTTCTTATCTTCCTCCTACACCTCTGCCTCACTGTTATTCACTGCTATGTAATAGTCCACCATCTGCCTATGCTCTGATTTATTGAACCAGTCCCCCTTTTGGCAGACATTTGGGTTGTTCTCATTGACTTGCTGTTCCAAGTGATCCTGTCTGATAGTTCCGTCTCTCGTGGATTTTCATTCACAACTGGGTCTCAGCCGTGGTGCAGTAAGCGTTCTTGATGTATGCTCGTGTGAGTACGCCCACAGGCAGGGTCTTAGCGGTGGGCCCGCAGGTTCAGGGCCACATGTTGTGACAAGTTTGGTGGCGGTTTCCCAGGGGTCATCTAGAGTTGTCCTGCCAGTTCCCGTGCCCACTCTCACCGCAGGATGGACCTAGCCCCAGAGACTGTCAGCCTTGTGAAACTTTGCCCACTTATGTTATATTTAAACTAGAAAAATCAAATCCAGTGGCCCTAGTGATACTGTAATAACCATATTATACAATAACATTAATGTTTAAACCAGTCTGGGAAGATAATGCTGAAACACAATTCTGTACGCATTTTAAACACCAATCAGGAAGAATATATGTACCCCCATGTTCATAGCAGCACTATTTACAATAGCTAAGATCTGGAAACAGCCCAAGTGTCCACCAGTAGACGAATGGATCAAAAAGCTGTGGTACATAAACACAATGGAGTACTATGCAGCGGTAAGAAAGAAAGATCTCTTATCCTTTGAGACGACATGGAGGGACCTGGAAAGTATTATCCTAAGTGAAAGAAGCCAAGCAGAAAAAGACAAATACCACATGATCTCACTTATATACGGAATATAATGAACATAACAGTCTGAGGAATACAGCAGACCCAGACACATGGAAGTAGGGCACAGACTGACATCCCTCAGAAGAGGGGATGGGGGGTGGGGGGGTGGGAAGAGATAAGCCACAGAACTTATATGCATGTATGCATGACCAATGGACATGGACAACTAAGCCGGGGACAGGGTGGAGGGGGGGGGGTGCCAATGGGGTAAAAAGGTAAAATATCTGTAACAAAAAATAAATAAATAAAAAAAATTCAAAAAAAAAAAAAATGGTCTTCCTTTTTTCCTTATATATGAGAATAGAGTCGTTTGTATCAACCCCATTAGAACTATTGTTTGACGCTCAGAGACAGACATTCCTGGATTTGCCCGAATCCACTGTGGGAATTTGGCCAATCTCTCAATCTGTTTGGCTGCCTCAGTTTCCTCATCTCTAGTGAAGGTTGAATGGGATGATCTCGAAGACCCACCATTTCCTGCATTTTCAACCATACCTGGGTGTGACTCCGTTTCCGAGGACAGAATCGTCACTGCATAGTGTCATTGTACCATGCAGTAACTTGAGGTCGACCAGCAAACAGCACTCCCAGAGAATTACGCCAAAGTATTCGCCGTCAGCGATGTGAACGGAGGAAATGGAAATGAACACAAAATGGATACATGGTGTCTCAGATGTTTTCATCAAACTTTATAGGTTGTAGGCTGAAGACACTCAACCCTGTTACTGTGGCTCTCACCTGTTCGCGTGTTCTCCGGGATTCCCATTGCACCGCGTTCCCCATTCCTCTGGGCTGTGGAACGGAAGCTGAAAGTCAGCATCACAAGCTGTCATTACGATGTCCTAACATTGCACTGGTCACGCAGGGCAGAGCGTGGGGGAGCCTCCCTCGGGGTCTGTGTGGAGCTGGGCTTCCAGGTCCTCCCCCACCTCCCCACCCGCGGTGTGTGCTGTGTGCTGGTCAGGTTCCTTCAGGCCCTTCCTTGCCTCATTTCTGCCAAGGGATTTTATCTGCTACATCGCCAGACTCCGCCTCTTGTGTTTCTCGGGGCCCATTTGACCTGCTCCAGTTTTCCCAGCTGCTGGCCAGCTCGGGCGCGTCCACACTTTATCCGGGATGAACCCTATCAGTATCGGAACCGGGACGGTGCTGCAACCTATTGTTACCTCCCAGGAAATTCTCAAAATGATCCGAAGTTTTTTTGTTGCACCAAAAGCTTATTCAGAAGTCTCTAGGCCTTTGGCCCCATGTTGGCTTGCACGGGCCGAGGCTCCACGGACGTCTCAGCTTGGCTCAGGAGGTGGAGCTCATGCTTCCTCCCCAACCTGTTCTCCCTCCTGGCCTTTCTCTCCTGCCTCTGAGCATCCCCAGAGCCGCTGTTCCAGGCAGCGCAGTGTTGCTCTCACGCC